CACAGACACACGCACACACACACGCACACACACACACACACGCACACACACACGCACACACACACGCACACACACACGCACACACACACACACACGCACGTTTTTATATATGTTCACATATATATATATTTTTTTTCCGTGGTGCAGCAAGTCACGCATCAAAGAGTTTCCCTGAATCCAAGGGTCTGCGCAGCCGGGATCTCAGATGCGAGTTGCAGAGTGCTTGAACAATTATCTTGCATGCAGGGCTGTGCACGGCTCTGCAGTGACACAGACGAACGAGAGCCTCCATAATCATCTGAAATGAGCAATGCCTTTCTTGATTTCTTGATGAGATGTGTAGCTTTGTGAAAACTTGACAATATATGTATGGTTATACCCCATGTATATATATATATGTACATATTCGTTTATTTAGTTTTATTTATGTATGTATTTGTATATACACCTATCTATCTATCTGTCTATCTATCCATCTATCTATCTATCTATCTATCAATCTATCTATCTATCTATCTATCTCAGTCTCTCCGTCTCTGCGCGCGCGTGTGTGTGTGTGTGTGTGTGTGTGTATGTGTGTTTCTATGTGCGTTCGCGCTGCAATTCAGCTCAAGCCGCAGAGAGTATGTTGGCGCCGGTGGTACCAAGACAGCCGCTAAGCTGAGCGAAGACGTGTTGCGGACCCGCGGCCGGGGTACCGACTGCGTTTTCGGTGTTTCCTGGTGTGTCCGGGTTCTCGGTCCACGAGCGGGAGTTTTGTTTGGTGGGCGGAGACGGAGATGGATTTCTCCGACTGAGGACATGGGAGCATCATGTGCCGGCGAGGCACGAGAGGCCCGAGCTCTGTTGAGTGAGCGTTGAGTGGGTGCAGCGTCGGCTCTTCTCGCCAGGAGCAGGAAATTGGCGACCTTATGAGCTTTAGTCCAGCACTTTGGAGAGCCAAAGTGCGACTCGACACGCACGCACACACACATCCCCGCATTCAGAGTAAGTTGAACGTGACCCCGGGTAAATAGTCTTAATGGCCCTATTCTCGTCTGTCCACTCTGCTTGCAGTCGCAAGACGGTGCCATGCAGCGGTGTGCAAGAACTGTTTGTAGCCAAGGGTGCCAAACTCGGGAGATCTTGAACCGCCGTCGACACCTGGCTCCAGTTTGGTAGCCAGCCTCTGCCCTCTGCCGGATTGCAAGAAAAGCCCACCTCGATCTGGCAGGTTCCCCTCTTTGCTTGACAACACTCTCCTCTTCCTGCCGCACTCCAGCGTCCAAGAGCTGGGCCTGGAGGCGCCGGCGCTCGTCGCTTCCCCCCCTCCGCGTTTTTTCGCCTCGGGTTGTTGGGTCCGAGGCGAACATGGACGACAAAGGGGACCCCAGCAAGCAGTGCCGGCCTTAGGCCTGGGAGTCGAAGTGTCGTTTCGGAAACTTGGCCCCTTTGGCCAAAGACTCGTCTCTTTTGGCGCTCAGGATGTGGTTTGGGAGAGTTTGGCACGTGCGGCAGCTGCTTCACAGGCAAGCAGTGCCGACATCCTGGCGTATGTCCTGTAGGGCCTGAAATGACAACTTCGGGCAGTCGCTTCCCGGACTGCGGTAGTCGGAGTGTTTACCTTCCGCAGCGTCAAACCCTTGCCCATTAGATCTTCAACGAACTGAAGCCGGAGACGTGTCTTCCTGTGACACCTCCGATCTTCCTTGGCACGTGATCCTGGAGCCAGGCGCTATCAGGAGTTGCGGAGAAACCAGCAGGTTCCGCCATCTCGAAAAGAAGCTGCCTGGCCGGGACTGCACTGGTGATTGCATGGCAAGCAGTGCGAGACGCATGTCTGGTTTCACCACCACCTAAAGTCTGAACGTCGTGTGGAAGGTTTTACACGCCGGCTTCCACAACAACGAGCAGTCTCTCAAAATGCTCGTGAAGGTCGCTCAACCAGACTTGTGGGAATTGTGGCACCCAGTGGTAGATCTTTCAAGGGAATGCTATGCAGCACTTTCCTTTGACTGTGATTCGCTGCAGTAGGACATGCATCATGCATGGCAACACAGACCATGTCACTCACATTCCTTGTCCAAACCGGAAACGTGTAAATGGAACGCAAGAGAGCCATGCGCCGCCAAGCACCGCCCCACAGGGCCAAGCACGCAGAGCAGGTCAGGGCAGTGCGTTTTAACCTTGCAGCAAATCCTATGACCGTCCTGCGCTCCGGTCGTGTGTGGAACCGAGCCCGGTGCTAGAAATGCCAGCTTGGCCAGCTCGTCCACAGTCATCCACGGCTTTCCTGTTGCAGCCAACTTCGCAGGCGCTGTATATAAGCATGTCCTTTGTTTCGGCACTGCAGCATCATTCAAGGTAAACAAGTTAGCATAATTGACGTTCGACGGCACATTTCTTGTATTAGAGCACGAAGGCCAGGTTGTGGATTGAATGCTGGCCGTTCAAGGTGCAAATGCGCTGGAAACTGGCATTGATCCGGAAGAGGAACAATTTCTCTTTCCTCTCGCGACTCAAGTTTGCCAACCTGCGAGGCTCACAGTTGTTGTTGACTTGCTGTGGAGATCATGGCCTCTCAACTGCACTGCAGCGGTGCGTGAACGTTTCAGGCACACTCATCTATGCCCATGGATCTGGAGGATGCAGCCTTTGGCTTGCATCCATGTCGGACCATTTGCCCAAATTTGGCAGTGACTTCAACGGAATCAGGGTCAGCCCGGTCAACGGCTTGATTGGGTGCAGGTAGTGAAACGCAAGCTGCATGACTCAGCTGATGACATCAGCAACGTTGCTGCCTTTAGGCTGGGACAATATGCGTATTTGCCGCATGATCTGCCGCATGGGTTTCTTGGCACCTCGGCTCACGTTGCGCTTCTTGGCCTCGTGGCCACCTTGGGCTTCCAAAGCTAGCATGGCTTCTCGAGGTCATAGCGCCAGATGATTTTGCATACCCCCGGGGTACCGCCATGGGTGCGCTCAGGCAGGCAATCTGAACTGCTGAAGGTTTGCACATGTTTTGCCAGCCTTCTGTGGTGCTGCAGCCGAGCTTTTGGCATGATGGCATATAGGGTGATCGGAAAGTAGTCCGGATGACATGTCGCGGACCAGAGTTTCTCTGCAGGCACAAGGACCTGCAGCCCCTACACTTGGCTTCAGATGATGTGGACTACTGGGCTCCGGACCTCATCTACGCCTCGCAGGCCAGCGAATCTTTACGAGAGCTTGGCCTCGATATCGCGACGCCGCGACCGCATCCTCGAGCCCGGCGGGGGGATTTCCGCAACCGGGGGCACCCGGAATAACCGGGTGAGAAGCCTTTGGTAGAGGTAGTTTCCATCCGTCACGACCCTTCAGTTCTTCTCAGGCAGCACCGGCACAGTGCAGGGACGGCCGTGGCTTATGTGCTTGTAGCGTAGTTGCTGGACAACACAAGCAGACCTGTCAACGAACCAAACGAAAGCAGCAAGTACTGGTCTAGAGACTCCAGGGCCTCATGCACAGAACACGGCGAACATGCCTTCTGTCTTTCAGTACTCAGATCATCTAGCGGCAGACTGGAATGCTCGGTTGATGCGCAGAAGCAGATCCATGTGCCATGCAGCGCCGCATCTATGACGTCAGATACGGGCCAGGGCCAGCCATCGCACGCTGTGGGAATGGACCTGCATCTGTTTTTGCAGAGCATGCCATTCGACAACGATGCCTGCCGCAGCTTTCTGGAGCTGAGCGCAGACCAGCAAATCCAACTGATGCAAGAGGATTTCTCGATGTGTAGGAACCCCAGTGCCTACCTCATGTCTCGGGTGCGCAACCTCAAAGGCATGAAGGACTATGTAACTACAGAGTCCTCAAACGAGGAGAATGGCTGGTGGCCAAGCCCGCCACCCCCACCGCCAACTGCACCGCTTCTTGCACCTCCACCACCTGCACCTCCACCGCCAGCACCACCGGTACCACCTGCGCCACCTGTACCTTCAGCAGGCAACGACGTCCTTGAAACCTTCCTACACCGTCATGGAATCGACGCGGGGGGGCGAGAAGCCTTGCGGCAACTCCCAGCCGAACTGCAGCTCGCTGTGCTTGCGCATGATCACGACATTGGCCAGGGGGGACGCAACCCGTCTCAGCATTTGGTCTCTTTGGTTGGGATGGCCTGGGCTGGGACTCTGAGGCCTCCGCAGGCAGATCCGCACGAAGTTTTCCTGGATCGGCATGGCATCGACGAGTCTGCGCGACAAGCATTTTTCGAACTTCCGACACACCTCAGACACATGGTGATTGACGAAGGCCCGATCCTTCACTGCTGGAATCCATCTGCCGTCCTGGTGTCTCGGATTGGGCGCGCTCGGATCAAAGGTGAGGGCAGCATGGACGGTGGGGGCAGGGCAGGTCTGTGGAAGAGCACCTCCTTCGCAAAGCCACCTTCTACACCGCCTCCGGCACATCTTCAACTCTCACTCCAGACGCCCCAGGGGGGGCCCGGGCTCCCAGCCCAGTCTGCAGCTCCGGCTCCTTTGGCCTCTTCGATTCCCAGGGCCTTTGCCAAAGCCTCCGCTGGCTCTGCCGTTCAAAGCAACTCCCCAGAGCCGAAGCAGAAGAAACGTAAAGCCGACGACGTCGACGAGGATGGGCAGCTAGATCTGGCAGTCGATCGGCCGTGAAGCTTCCTTACGAGTTCTGGTTAAGCCCACAGGCACCAAGCCCCAAAAGCCTTTGTTGCTGCTTGTGACTGCTTGTGCTTGAAACCAAGGTCGAGGGCTTCCTCCGGCTCAATGGCATTGATGGGAAATCCTGTCGCGCCATGCGCCGGCTGCCACGGTCGGCGCAGCGAGCGCTGATCGGAATGGATCTACGGCGGCACGGCAATCCATCGGCATATCTCTGGATGCAGATTCAGAAGCTTCGAGAGGAGAGTAGGGAAGAGGGAAGGCCCCCGTCCCCCCAGCCTGTATCAGTTTTTGCCAAGCAACCGCCTCCACAGAACCCACCTCTGCCCACCCCACCCCCACCACCCAAGCCGGTGTCCAAGCCTGGGTCGGCGCCACGAGGCAATGGCCCTCCACCACCCCCTTCCCCTTCTGGCCCAGGCCCTAAGCACGGGTCAGTTGCGTTCGTGTTAGTCCGCCACAGTGGTGGAGCCAGCGTCCCAGAATTCGTGGAAGTGTTCGACCATGCGCACGTCCTGACGTGCGGCAGAGCCTCGTCCTCGGACGTCCTACTGAGGGTTCAGCATGCCTCCAAGAAGCATGCTGAGTTTAGAGTCGAGCACGGGCCAAGCGGAGAAGCCTTGCTCATGTTTTGCGACTTCTCCTCGAATGGGACGTGGCTCAACGGCGACAGATTGCCTTCGAGTCGCCTAACACGGCTACTCTCTGGCGACATCCTCTTCTTCATGCCGCCTGGGACGAGCAACGACGTCCCCGCAATACAAGTCGAGCAGACCCAGAGCCAGGCCGGATTTCTCTGCCCAATTGTTTTGCTTCCGCACATTTCCCGCATGACAGCCTGTAAGGCGGGCGCATGACTGCAGTGCCCAGGACCAGCCGCTGGCTCTCTGCAATGGGGATGAGCTTCCCAAAGAGCCGGGGGTGCTGCATGCGCCGAGCCAAGCTGGACCGGCCTCTTGCTTGCACCGTGACCTTTTGGGGTGGAAAGCCGCCTCCGCGGCCTTGGACTGAACCCAGGAAGTCTCCGATTGGATCCGGAGCGTTGGCAGCGGAGGAAGGCTTTGCCGTCGGCTGGTCTCAGAGATCGAAAACTCTTACGATCACCTGCGACAGAGCCATGTCATGCACTGCGGGCATTTTCTGAACTCGGCCCCCAAGTTTGGAGTCTTGGCAGTAGGCCGTAAGCACCAACCGGTGTCAGGCTGACACCCAATCGCACTGCCTCCTGATGTCAGGAAGCGGTGCCCTCTCCCTTGGCTGTGGGTAGCGTGCATGAGATAATTCTCCCTCATCATTGCTGGTTAAACTCAGGATCATCGACAACTACGGCGCAAACATTGGTCACTCGGCCTTTCTTTCGTTGAGACGGCACATGTGGCAAAAGCCCTTGGCCAATTGTCATTGTTATCGCTTTAATTCACGGCACATACCCGATGCACTTTCATGCTCGGATTGGATCATTTTCACACATGGCTGTGTGAGGTGACTTCCTGGACGTTCATTGTGTCGACAATCCTGAAGAAGGAGAAGTGCTCTCCGCCGCTTTACGGGCTCTGTGCTCGTTGGAAGAAAAGGATCTCGCATCTGTGGACGGTCCACTTGGCCCACCTGCAGTCAGCTTTTTGGTGCTAAAGTTGCCATGTCCAGATCACCTTTGCAGATCGGTCCCCACGAACATTCGGGCTAGTTGGGTCGGGATTGGGAGCAAGGGCGACTGTGAAGCGTTTCTCGTAGAAGCATCTATTTCGAGAACGGCTTTCTTTCTCGGTGTTTGGGCGTAGTCGGCAACAGCTGGCCATCCTCGATGGCAATGGCTGAGACTGAGTAAGCGCTTGTGGATGCATGGCTCCACGCATGCTTGCAGGCGGAAGGTGAGAGCACCTACTCCACCAAGGCAGCTTGGCTTACTGGTACAAGACGTCCCTGGCTGTTGCAGTGCAAGCACATGCACCCGTGCACTTCAAGGCGGAGGACGTGCTAAGCCATCCGGACCAGCTTCGACCTCGGATGGCGCGAGTTCACGGCATGGCACATGCAACAACTTCTGAGGTGGATGGACATGTACGAAAAGTGCTATCAGATGCGGCGAAGTGATCCTTTGCAGCACAATGTCTTGAAGAAAGGATAAGGATGATAAGGCGGAAGGACGCTTGAAGCTTCCGGGGCCCAGGAGCTTCACTTCATCATCTCGAAGCTCCCGCGGTTCATCTTGGCGCAGGGCTTCTTCCTAGGCCTGCGGCCTCACTGCCCCAGATGCCCTACAGTCTCTTACTCTCCGCTCCGTGGGCCAGGGGGCACCTCCGAAGGGGCCATGACCATTGCGAGATTTGATGATCAGCGAAGCTGGTCTTAATTTCTGGAGGCATTTTTTCACAAAGCGAAAACACGGGGACCCGGACATGCGCAAAGACCTCCAGGCCCTGCTACATGCGAATTTGGGAAGGGACCACGCGAACACGTGACGTCGAAGATTCAAATTCAATAGTTCTTCTCAGCCGGTGCATTAATCCCATCAGCCGCATGACGGCCATTAATCGCGTGACGGTAGCACCAGCATGGCAGCCTTCACAGCTCAGGGCGGCTGCTAATTGGCGAACAGGAAAAGTCCCTTTCATGGGGCTGAAAACATGAAAGCCCGAAGTAAGTCACTGTAGCCTCCTGGAAGGTGCACTGCTACCCCACAGTCAGATGCCCTAGTGAAATCATGTAACTGGACGGGAGCTGTGCGGGCATGAGTCTTGTACTTAAACAAAGGGCGTAGGGACCCTGTAACCAGCTCCTGGAACCCTGCCCGAGGCTACGGCAAATCCGTTCTGGGGCGGTTCATCAACTCTTTCAGCGCTGCGCTCAGTTGGGACAAATCTTGGCCGGGAGCTTCATGAAGGATTGCACTGCCGTCCGACAATCCTGGCCGAGGTGTGGAATACTGCTATTTCACTCCGCGGCCAGAGGATGGTCAGATTGGCGGTCAAAAAGATGTCCCAACGCTGAACATCATCGGGAGCAAGGAGACTGATTGGGGCGCCAGCTTCGTGTTGGGTAGATACTCGAGTTTAACAAAGCCGAAGTCGTTCCGCTCGAAACTGGATGTTCCAAAGCATGGCGGATTGCTGTCGGGTCATACCGTTTGTACGAGTATGCCTCGAAACACACTAGCTTGAGAGCTTGCAGGTTTCGTGGTGTAGAAAGATGGGGATTGGCCATGTCATTTGTTTTTGCATCGTCGACGTGCCGAACGTCCGCTGCAGGATGAATATTTCGGAGCCGTCACGAACTCGGCTTCACAGGACGAGTGTGAAGGAAGTGCTTGAGTGATCACATGCACATATGGCACAGCGGAGCACAAAGCTTTTCTATGTATTTTTGAGAGGTAGAGTTGATTTACTGAGGTGCAGAGTGTTGCAAAGATCGTGGTTGAGGATGGTATGGGCTATGGCGACAAGAACCTGACAGGGAACGCATACAAAACGTTCGTGAGGCAGGACATGATGGCAGCCTGAAGCTCTCAGCTGCGATCACACTGATTAGCGAGCGAATCACTGCCCACCGGGACTGGAAGACTGGATGCTGGTGGTTCAGATGCGGTATTCCTGCACGGCAAGAAAGTATGCCAACCTTAATTTCGTGCGTAGCACATAATTCCTAATGTGCACTGGCAGGCACTATCAATCTGCCGCCGAATCATTGATACGTCGTCGTCGCGTCATGACTCGGCGACCCAAACTTGCGTGGCCACTGACCCCTGCAGTACTTGCGCTTACTTTTTCTGCAGGCAAGGTCTGCACCACGCACTGGTATGCGTTTTGGAAGATGGAGCACGGACCTTAGCCTGTGGAAGTCATGAGGAGGCAATGGAGCTTCTTGCGACTTCTAGTAGGAAACCTGTTGCTGATACATTTTGAAGGATGTGGTCACGTGGTCACACCCCACTGAGGCCAAGTAAGATGGCGCAAGCTCTGAGAGCTCGATGGAAGTCACAGGTGATCAACTACAGAAGTCACATGTGGTCCGTCATTGAATCAAACCTGTCCAATTTGCACAACACCAGCAAGAGTCGAGTCCCGAACCTATGCTCGTAGCGAGCACCAGGAAGCATCCACCATCCATCTCCAGTGCTCCTGCAAGTTGGCTTGCGTTTTGCTCGTGTGATATGCGCTGCTAAGACCCACGGGCCATGCATCACGTGGCTCGCCTGCACTTTTGCTGTGTGCCGCATCGTTTTTTGGACATGTGACCAGACAGGCCGCAGCTGCGATGGACAGTCATTGCACGGTTTGACTGTGGAACCCCGGCTTTCCAACTGTGGAACCCCGGCTTTCCAGACCTAGGCATGACAACCAACTACGCGAGATTTTCAACACCTTCTTCACTCGCCCGCACGACATCTGGCAGCTCGAGAGGTCCTTTCCTTCCGAGGTTTTATGACATGTTGCGCATCCCTGAGCAGCGGCATACCTGCCGTACCTCGATCACGCTCGGCAGACCCCACCGTCAACTGCCAGTAGATTGTACTAAAGACCTACTGCCAAACGGTTGCAATCGAGCCTCAAGACTTGCTGCAGGGTTTGGGCCTGTGATCCGCCATTGGCCGGCAACCAAGAAACATCCTGCAGAGTCCTGCAGTGACATGTGTCTGGAAATATGCAGTTTTTGCATTGCTCCGCTGAGGCTTCCATGATTCGCGTTTTGGCCCGCTCTGAGAAGACTTTGCGTGGTGAAGCCAACAACGACGCAGATCACGTGTTACTCGACCAAGAACGATGCAGATAAGGAGAGATCAAGCATGCAGTAGGATGTTCTCTATAATATAATGTCAGACAGGCAGACATTTCGGACGGCTTCAGTGCTCGGTTGGATAAGACACCATTAGACCACGCTGGGTTGTGTTCCTTGGGGCTGGGTGTGTTCATTCTCTCGAGAGTTGACAGCCGCCTGATGATCTCTGATCTCTGCTTGTGCTGCACCCTAAAGGGATCTATTGGTCTCAGGTCGAAGATCACCAAAGTCTTTGTTCCACTCAGCAAGATGCCGAGCAAGATGTCCTTGCGCGAAGTGTCACTCGACTGTAAGAGTCGCCCGGGCTCTCGACTGGCGGCTCTCTGAGGAGAGCTCAGGACACGTACCATCTTCAGTGACGGCGGTTAACCGTTCTTGAGAATCTGGGGACTGCTGTGGATGCTTCGTTCCCCTCGGTTGCCTAGCCTCATGCCGGCAAGCTTGCAAGGCAGGCGTTGCGGGAGATTTCACCCTCAAGCCAGGCCTGAAACCAGACCTGCTGTTGTCATGCGCAGCTACAGCGTCCGGATTGAGTATACAGTCTGCCCAGAGCTGTTGAACCTTGAGTTCACGATCTAACCCATGCAAACTGCAAACTCTTCGGATTGCACGACACTCTGTTTCAGGCATTCCAGGCCAAGGTGCAGACCGTCATGGCAGAGCAGAACCTTGGCAGAAGTGTTGCTTAACATCAGCAAAACTTTCGTGCGAGCTCCAGGCGCCCTAGCCTTCGACGCGCCGCGTTCCGCGAGATTGTTTGTGTCGCTCAGGAAATTGCTGATGGAGCAGGAATCCGAGGAGGCAGCCGGATTTCTTGAGTGATCCGATCGAAACTCAAAAACAAAATGAGAAGTCTTCAAGCGAGACCCTTTCCGTGTGGCAAGTGTCAGTTTAATGGGTCATGGCGAAAGAACATGCAGGCATGTGTGCCCAGAGCATGTGCATCTGTTACGCAGCCGAAACTCTTGGCCAGTGGCCATGTGCTGTTGCGGATGGTTGCCAGTGCATGTCTAGAGTGGGGTCTAGATGTTGGGGCAGTTGCCCACAAACGAACGCATATGTACATATACATATATATATATGTATGTATGTATGTATGTATGTATGTATGTATGTATGTATGTGTGTGTGCGCGCGTTGTCTTTTCGTGGTCCCCCGCCCGCCCCCGGTTCTCTCAATGGTCTCTTTCTGAGGCAGAGAACATGCTTCGGAAGCTGCGGAAGAAGGGATTCGGTGCCAGCTCGCGCTCGCAAACCGAGAACTTCTATTCACAGGCGCTTTCTTTGTTTGGAGCCGCTGTGCAGCCTGGAACAGCGTGCAAGCAGCGTGCACGCTCTGCTGAGGAGGACAACGAAAAGACTGCCAAGAAGGCCACCCATTGGCGCAGAGCAGAGCACAGGTTTCAAAGTATTGTGTTCGTTCGGAGACAGATGAGTGCAAACGGTCTTCGAATGACCTGCGACTGCATTGTCCTGCAAAAGCAGAAAGGATTGTGCTGCAGCCATGGTGACAGGAGATCCTGTACAACAAGATCTGAGACAGTCTAGGGGCACTTTTTTTCGGGAGCACCGAAATGCTTCAGCCAATGTCGACACAAGAGCTGGTCGACAAGGCTGTTTTAAGATTTTGATAGTTTTCGCACAAACCTGAGACATGCAGAGACGGTGAAAGCCGCTTGAGCTGCGCATCCTCTGCGGCAGCTCGTAAGTTTTTTGTGCGTCAGCACAGGTTGCCGACTTGCCCAAAACGTGGCAACCGGTGCCAGTGATGTTCCGAGACCAACGCATCGTTGCCTCAACATCACGGCAGGCCTTCCACTGCCATCCGTGGCAGTGGCTGCTAATGTTCAAATGCTTGGCTGGCAACCAGCCAACATTTACCACCACGGTCTGGCATATCTAAGTGCTTCTCACGCATGAGCATGCAAACAGATCAGATTTTGCCGACATTCCTTGCTCCGTGTTTGTGCGATCAACTCGCCTCATTGTGCATGTCGGAGCCAGCAAGCTTTAGTAGTGGAGCCAGGGGCCCACACGCACAAGATAGGGCAGTGAGGAGTCTGTCGGTTGTTCTCTGAGAGTTCAAGCAGCTGAAAAACGAGCAGCGGGCGGCAACTAAACCTAGGTGTGTTATTGGACTTTTGGATTGTAAATGCTTCATGACGGTGTCAGCGGCGGTCATGAAAGTCAAGAGGAAACAGCGCGGGCTGACGAGGAGCCGAGACGTTTGGCTGTCACACGATGGAAGCATATATGGAAAGTCTAATGACTCGAATGCTCAGTTTTTGTCGAAGCAGCCTGTAAGACTGCTCACCAGGAGTGCTGTCAACGAGAGGCCGCACAGCGCTTTCAGACTCCAAGAGCGGCGAAGTGCTGGGCCATGTCTCCTGGCCCTTAGCTTTGCTTTGGTCTCCTCTAGACTCTAGAGATTGATGTTCTGCCCCACTTCGCAGCTTAGGGCTTTGGAGTCTTAAAGGAGCTGTGGGTGGAACCGTCGTTGGAGGAGCTCTGGTGTAGCTTCCCGTACTAAAACCTATGTTTAAGCTCCCCTCACCTGTCCGCCCTGTCCTGCCATCGTTACCTGAGATGCAAACTCAGGTACTGCGCATTTCTTGCCAATCCTGGAGTGAAGTGTCCAAGTTTCCTGGATCATCTTGTTCTTGCGTGCTGTATCTGCTGCCAGCATTCTGAAATGTCGGTTGTCTTGAAATCTGAAATACTTGGACATGACTCGAAGCAGATGGTTTGGGACGTTTGCCGTCAGCATGCGGCAAAACGCGGTGTGGGTGTTCTGCTGATCCATGCTGGGTAAGGATGCTGGCGTGTTACCACATACTGCTGTTGCGCGGCTATGCCTTCGCTGAGCCGTGTCAGCAATCCACCGGGCAAAGACTTCCGAAGAAGCACAAGCTTGTTGCCAGAGGAAGCTTCGCCCCCACGTGATCGTGCTCTTCCACCACGAGGCTGTAAACGTGGAGCTGAAGACGGCGGTGGCAAGAGTGGCTCATGAGTGTTCCGTGTTAGCTTCAACAGGAGCTTGGGCAGCACTCCGCCACCAACACGGCGGTACTGCTTCTGCTCCTTGGAGCAGATCAGTTCTGCTGCGGCCATCCGGAGCACGATGAGCGCTTGCAGGCACTGCTGAGGCGCTTCCACCTGGCCCCGCCTAAGTCATGTATTCTGGGGTGGTGGATACCGCACTATCACACGTGGCCATGTGCACCCGCCCCGCAGAATAATTTTTCCAGCCATGGGGTTGGAATACGCAGTCAGCTGTTTATGGATCATGCAAGCATGCAACAGTGGTGTCGCTTGTTCCGCACACCCCACCTGAACGGGTAACAGAACGCAATGGAACATGTCACAAATCACAGTCTCTGCGTGCAGTTCCCGCAGAGATTGCGTGGGGTGCGGGGGCGTCTAAATGCGCTTGCGGTACGTGCGGGTGTGTTTGCCCATCTTCCAGTACCGTCACGACTTGCATCGCATGGACCCCGTGGGCCCCGCCTGAATACACTATTTCGTCCTGCAGCTCCCCAGCAACAATGTATCCAGCCAGGGGCCGCGACAGTTAGACGTAGACGCAGTCATAAAGCTCCCTTGCAGGGAAGATGTGGCTGGCACCGCTGTCCTTTTCCCATCGGCAGATGCATTGCCGGCGGCTGCTCTGGCTGAAGCGGCGCCCCTCCAAGTCTACGATGTTGGCTTTGCGAGCAGGTTTGAGACACATGATTCAGTCCTGGATGTCCCAGCTGGTAGTGAAGGTAGTTTGGACGGGGACCTTGTCCATTCATGAGGGCTCGCCTCACATTTTCTGGGATCCAAGCGACGGTGGCCGCAGGCACAGCCTCCACGGAGGATCGTAATTCTGGATGGAGGCCATCCGCAGTGGTCAATTCATCTTTGGCCGGGACAGCTTATGGGTTCAAGGGTTGAACTTCATGACAGAGACATAGGGTGTTATGCTGAAGACAGGCTGGGCCCAATGCAAGAAGATGAACCAGTGGCTCGACCCGGCGCTCCCGAGGCATACAACATCTCGCTCATTCGATGCTGCATAGGTAACCTTCAAGCCCCGTGGCTGACGACCTGCCTTGAGAGGTGCGTCGTCGAAACTGCCACACGAGAAGAGCCTCGTGCTGAGAGCGGAAGAGACTTGCACCGTTCCACCTTTGCCTTGCGCGTATTTGCGAGTCGTCGCCGCGAGGTTCGGCGCCACCCGGCGCTACCGCGGGGCCCAAAGCGGGCGTGTCCAGACGGCCTCGGCCTTCGCGGCCCTTTGCCGGGAGCTCCGCGAGGAGAGCCGCAGCCGCCGTCTTCTCTCCTCACACGTTTTTGCATACTTTTAGCATCTTTTTAGCCCTGGAGAGAGGACCCGCAGGATGTCCAAGCGGTGGCGCTGCTGGGACTGGTCAAGCCTGCATTTGGTCTTGTCATCACTTCCTCAATATCTGCAGTGAATGTGCAGCTTTCATTGCGCACACGGTTTCACTCTCTTCCAGCATGACGTCAACCGTCGCATGTCACCTTTCGCTCAGGCAGGGACTTTCCGCTTTCATGAGCAGTTTCGAGGCCCAAATGGGCCCAGCAGGGCGTCTCACTGTGTTAGAGCAGAGGGAAGCTGGTCAGCAACATTTGTCGGAAAATCGGATTCTGCGCATGATGCGAGAGTATTGCAGGGTTGCAACATGGCTGTCTCAAGACCGAAACGGGTGCTGTCATTACGCATTTGTGCAAAAGCACAAGTCTCATGGACGACGTTGTCGAACAGTCTGCCACTTGAGTTGATGTTGGCTTGGCAGCAGGCTTGCGGCTAGGGCTTCTTGCAGCACCGGTTGCACCCATGCAGCTCGAACCATAAACACCCCTCACACGTCTCACAGCGTCACAGGAGGTTGACAAGGGTTCGTGGGTTGACTCAGGCTGGAGGTGTGGCTCTCCTGCCTGTGCGATATGATGAAGAGAAGGACATGCTCTGAGCTTGACGGTTGAGCGGAGACCACTTAGTTCCGCGTCACTCGCATGAGATCCATGACATCATTGATGGGTCCCTTCTAAAATCTGTGAGGAAGGCTCGCAATTGCCGGATCCGGTCTCCGCTGGCGTGGCGATCTTCTCACTAGCGTAGCTTGGATTTTTGGCTGTGGGAACAATGGAGCAAGACCTGCCGATGAATCGTAGCAGCATCCTTTCGAGAAGTGGGGCTGTGGCCCAAAATTGCTGGACACCCTATAAAACCCATATCGAGACCACACCTGTGCAAAGCCTCTGCAGGAATCATACTGGTGTTGCAAAGGATGGAATCTGGCTCCTACCCGCACTGCTGCAGTTCGCTGGAATTTCCACATAGAAAAGCCATTCGAAGCCTCCACAATCGAGCCTCTGGGTGGTCGCAGCCACTAGTCCTTCTGCCGGATCTTCAGTGAAGCTGTGATGAGACTGCAATGGTCAGGCAGCCGCTGTCGTTTCTGTCCATGGTGCCCATCCCGGAGTCAGTGACATGCAGCGACAGCAATGAAGTTGAGTTTGATTCCTCTACATGTAGTTTCCAGCGACACGTGGCTCCGTCCGCCTTCTCGTGTTCATCCTCCGTAACATGTGGTCTCTTAATTGGCTTTCCAGGTCTTCTACTGGACTGTCGAGAAGCCCATATGGGCGATCCAGTCGGAGGCTAGGAGTGCGCTTGTGTTGAGCGCTAGGGCCTCTAGGAATTGGATGTTTCAGGATCTCCCGGACTACCTGGGCTTCTTCGTTCACTGCATTAGCTGGCTTTTGACGCTCATCAGCCTTTTCTGTAGCGTCTCGGCATGAGAATGGCCTCCCTGCCCTCCCTCCCCCCTCCTCTGTCCCCCCCGCTCTCAGTATCCGCATTTAAACTTGTTGAGAACGCGGGCTGTGGCAGTTCGAACAGGCCGCATCCCGTTCTCCTGTCAACATGGCGGGTGGGTGCTGATGTTTGGGGTCGCCTACTTGGCTTACACCTCAGTGAACCTTCAAGCGTGCCTGTGACACCCCATGACCATGCTGGCAAGGTCTTTTCCTTCATGCATTACTGCTTGAAGATCGGATTGTGTTCCGCTCAGCTTTGGCAAACATATTCGAAGAGAGCCATGAGCCATGCTGAGTCAATCGCACTACTGTTGTTGCAAGAACCTGCGAGACTAGAGAACCTCTCTTCCAGGGAGACGTTTGTCTGTCTGTGTGCGTAGCCTCGGCAGCACCCAGTCTGCAAGCTCTACAGCTCAAGCTGGTCAACTGCCCTTCTCTTCATCTTTGATTTCGGACTCTACCCTGAGAAGCTCTCTCATCCGACACAGCAGACCGGATGGCTCGACTGATCAGGCCACAGGGGTGCACAGGCTACGTCCAGCCAGAATGCCCTATCTACGAGGCCGGTGGCCGGCCTGAGAAGATTGAGGACTTCAGCTTGTCGCATGGGCAGGTCCTGGACTGGCACAAGCCCGAGGCACCAGAGATTGCTCACTGGTCTCATAACGACCAGACGTGTCCTGGAAGCAGGATGTCGCGACAGTCTCCTTCTTGACACTCGGGGCTGCGGCCCAAGGGGGACAGCAGAAAGCTGCGGCAGGAGTGTAAAGGGGTCACCGGTTTCTGCTTTCACGAGATGTCAGCCGTTGCACCCGACCGATGAGATGAAGATAAACGCTGAGGGTCAGAATGAGTGTCGACGGACACTCTTGCAGTTGTGCAACTTGTATTGTTTTGATCTTGGTACACACCAATGCCAATGCAGTATACATGCAAGGTCTCTGCGGAACCGTCGCATCCGTTCCTTACGCATGTTTCCTCTACCTGAGGTGTTGTGCAGGGCTGGAGCCCGTGGCACGAAGTGATTGTCAAGTAGAAAGTTTGTGTGTCGAAAGAGATGAGCTCGCATTTCGACCGACACGGATGCGCAGCGTTTTATCTTTGGCCTGTGTCGTCTCCTGGGTACTGGGAAGAGTAGCGAAAATCGTTTACAGCGTATCTACCGGACCAGCACCCCCCCCCTTCTGATCGCTTCACCGCGGTGCCGTGACCACTGTCTTGAGTCCTTGAGTTGCCAATTCGTTTGCTGCTGAAGGCGGTGGAAGCGGTGAGGGCGGGCAGTTAGGGCAATAAATGCGAGTGAGGACGGGCGCTGCTGACATGGGGCGGTGTGGGTGGAGGGGGTCTGGCACTGGGCGCGTATTAGAAGCGTCTAAGTACTTCCTATAAGGGCCTGGGCATCCGAGCCAAGGGTGGGGTAGTTGAGGCGAGGCTCCCAGGGAAAAAAGCCAAGAGCAGAGCCTCGGAAAAAAACAAGAAAAACCCTTCGGGATTTCACAGGCGCCGCCTCAACGGGGGTCGGCGAATGTATGTATGTATGTATGTATGTATGTATGTATGTATGTGTGTATATATATAAGCTAAATAGTCAAAAACCTGATAAGCAAATACATGCTATATACACACATGCACATATATACATATACAGATGTGTGTATAAATATATATATAAATATATATATATATATGTGACTATATGTGTATGTAAATGTATATGTATATATAGGTATATGTATATGTATATGTGTGTACATGTATAATCAATCAATCTCTCTCACTCTCTCTCTCTCTCTCTCTCGCTCCGTGTGTTTGCACCCCGTCCCGGGATTGGCTTTTGCACTCTTCTGCAATGCTAATGGGGCATTGTGCTGTAATGAGAGATGCAAGTCCTTGACCTGTCCACTGCGAAAGAATGTTTGCGCTTGGCTTCCACTGCTTGGCTCTGCCTTGCGTAGGGTCATGACTCCCTGACATCTTCGGGGCCCTACATCCCCCTTTGCATCTCAACTCGCACCTTCCGTTCCTCTCTCGTCTTTGCCGTTGTCGCCGGTCCGTCTCAACGATTCCGCCTTGGGGCCCGTCGCGCCGGCCAGCAGTACGTGCACAGGGGAGGCGTCAGATAATGCGTGAACGTCGTTGCCAAATAGCGAGGATCGCCAAGCACCACTGAACTTCCCCGACCCAGCAGGCCCAACACTTTGGTGGAAAGGTTAGAAGCCCCTGGCAAAGCTGTTGGTCGGCACACCAAGCTCCAGTTGTGGAATGATGAATGATGCTTGGGGTGAATATCGAACTTGTGGGCAAGCGGCATGGTTGACGTGCAGACGCTTGTTATTAGTTTGCGCCCGGTGGATTATTGTTCTGTTGCACCTAGGTCGCCTTTCCCACGGCCATCATTCTGTACTCCTGGATGGTGCATCTGCGGGACAAACATCGTGCATGAGAATGCCCAGCTACTGGTACTAGTAGCATATGCGACCTGCCCGAAGATGCTCTCTACGCAGGATTCCTGCGACGGCAAAGCCGACCTCAGGGAGATGGACGACATCATCAGGATCTGCTTTGGGCGAAGGTTCATGGTTCATTTGACCGTGGTACGCGTTCTCAATGTGGTCATATGCAGACAGCAGTGGATTGCATTCCATACTGTTCCCGGTGATTCGCGGAGCATGCTGAGTGCAGGAGGCAGATGGAAGCCTTGCAGGTGGCAATCTCCAGTGCTGTTTCGCTTGATGCAGTCTTGAAGCTTTGCAGAGCCGGTTACTGGAAGATGTAGAAGGATCAGCTTTGTAACATTGTAGTATGATGGCAGCAGCCGCAGCGACAACGAGACGAGCGACAATGCTGTTAACCGCGAACACCAGTGGCCAGGCAAGAGTAGGAGAAGCAGTAACGCCAACGACGGCAACAACATCATCAACAACAACCAGAACCATAATCGCGGGCAGAGGCAGAACCCTCAGGTCTCTCCAGGTCTCCATCTAAAACAGCCGCTGCTTTCAGATTCGGACCTTGGCGTCGGCTTGTCCGTCAGAACACGAACACGGCTGGGCTCTCTGGCTTTGGCTCTCTGGCACTCCTTAGAGGGAAAATTGTATGCTGGATTCCTTCTTTGCCTCAGCTAAACCATCAGCAGCAGGCTGTCGCAGTCATGTGGCCGAAGGAGTGGTCTCCACCAGCTCCAAAGCCGCCTCGATCATAGGCTGATACTCCACCGGTCCTGGCTGAAGGGCTCCGAGCAAAGGGTTAGATCCTTTGGGCTCCAGCCCACAGGAAGCCTAGATGATGGCCCCAAGGCGAAGAAGCGGGGACTCGCCAGCAGGGCAACAGCAACAAGCAGCAAGCAACAAACAGCAACCAGCGACCGGCAACCGGCAACCAACGACCAACAACCAACAAGCAACAGCCAGCAACCAGCAAAACCAACAACCACCAACAACCAAGCAACAGCTAGCAGCTGATAGCCAACCACTGCCACTACCACCACCACCACCAAGAAGAAGAAGAAGAACAGCAACAACAACAACAACAACGACAACAGCAACGACACCAACAATGACACCAACAACGACGACGACGACCACCACCACCACCACCACCACCACCACCACCACAGCAACAGCAACAGCAACAGCCACAGCCACAGCCACAGCCACAGCAACAGCAACAGCAACAGCAACAGCAGCAGCAGCAAC